GCACATTTGTCCCCTTTGACATATATTCAGATACACAATATACAAACAGACATACAGCCCACATGTTTGAAACCTTGCAGCAAATAAGAGTACATCTACATCTTCTTAATGTCTTCATATTGAAAGACACATGGATTCAAGTCCAAATACAGGCATCATTATGTTGCCATATGTATTGACAACCCTGGGAGACACATTTATAAAGTCATAAAATAATATTTAATTATACCAACATACTTTTCACATTAAAAAGTTAAGAGAAATTAAGCTTTTAGTTCATTATGTGTGAAAAATAATACCAAAGGGAGGAAATTCATTTCTACATTATCACTGGTGTCCCAATTAGAGGCACACCAAACAAGTCAAATGGAGTAAACAGACCTGACACATTTTCACATTAGTGGAGGGACTTGATTAAAAGTTTAATCGAGTTAATTGCAGAGTCTGTAATTAATTGAAAACCATATATACCAACAAATTTTTTTTTTTAAATTCAAAAACCAATTTTGTTGCTCAACAAAAAATAAATTGTTTTTAATCTGTTATTTAGGTTAGATTGCTACAAAATAATGTTACCTATTCGAATTTCAAGTGTTTCAAAAACTTCTTTGAAAAAAAAAAATCTTTATAAAAGATATAAAAGATTGTTAACACTGACATTAGCGATTGGACATCTGGGATTGCTACATGTCTTGCATTGACATTGCATCTCAGGTAGTAGTGATGATACAACAGAAATGTTTTTTAAAGCCAAAATTAACCCCCAGGGCGCCAAGATAAGCTGCTCTGTCCTTTATTGGAGTGTTTGTGGATGCTGTTTGTGCGTCAGACTTAGGCTCAAACCAGAAACACGTGAATACAAACGTTTCTTCTCAGGACTTTTGCATGACAGTAAACAATGTAATTAATCGCATTAACATTTTTAACACATTAAAGTCTATACAATTGAAAAAATTAAATCAATGTGTGAAAGTCATGGCATTATCAGACAGAACATTTATACTAGTAGTCCATGACATTTTCTCTGTATTATAAACATGAAATAACGCACACCAACTTGTCTCAGTAATGCATTGTGTCAAACAGGAAAACATGATATTCAAAACAAGAAAAGAAAGAAAACAGCTACTCATGAACTCAATCATAACTGCATTTAGTAGTAGTCATGTGTTTAAACATCGATAAGGTGACGGTTAAGACTGGAGGAGGAGCTAAGCTTATCGTAGCGTCACACAGTGAAGAGGGAGGCAAACAGCTACAGCGCTCACTACTGCAGCAAATCTTTCAGTGTAAGATTATGCAACTGCTCCAAAGGAATAAATTCATTTAAGGCTTTTTACACATCTTTACCAGTGGTGTAAATATTTTTTGAGTCCATTAAACTGGCCTAATGTGGGAAAATCAAGTGTGCTATATTTAGAAACAAGTCAATCATATGAAGGAGAAAATTACAGACACCAGATTGAACTCCTTCTTTATTAATACAAATATAACATCTACATAATGTATACACCTCAAGGTCCATTCACACCTTCTTTCCATTTCTGTTTTTATTATGTTGGCTCTCTGTGACTCCTTTAATTGGCCCCTGAGGATACATAAAGTTTTCTGAATTGAATTAAATCTAAACATTTTACTGATTAAACATTCTTAGATACTAAACCTCTTCCACACGCTCCATAATTATTTAGATGGATTGTCTATTGCTACATGAACTAATGAGCTAAACATTACAGCCAACAACTGAAGTGAAGCTTTTACTAGCTGTTCTTATAAAAAGAGACAAATGAGAAAGGTTATTGCACTGAATTAATTTGTAACAAACTTATGAGACAAAAAGACTGAATATCCATATAATGGGCACTCACAGGGAGAGCAGAAACAAGTCTGTTGGGGATAATAAAATGTATAATTTCCAGTAATAAAAACATTGGTGATGATACTGTAGCATCAAATTCACAAAACTCATTTATAGACAGCCCAAATAAAGGTAGGTGTTACTTTATAACACCTCCAATGTATTTAATCAACACAGGTTTTACTTATCTTTGGAGCAGACACCCAGCAGCAGCTGCTTTATCATGTTTGCTAGTTTGAAACTTCAAAATTACTTAGTGATAGACAATCCTGAGGGGGGCTGTGATCGTTTTAATTGGTATCTCAGAACATAAATGCTATAAAATATTTTAACTTCACCATATTAAATCATTAAAAAACCATTACAGCATTACTCCCTTAGCCTCCAGCTGAGGTCTTTGCTTCAATTAAATCATTCAATTAACATTTTCACTAAGGTTTGCCTGTTTTATGAACAGATTTACCCTTCGAAAACACTGATATAATAACATGACTGGGTTTACAGGCTATGTGAGATAAAATACTCATGTCAATATTTAAAAATCAACAGATAATGTGACCTGCAGAAGATCCTAAACTGGGAGTTGACTAATGGTCTCTTTCTGAGTTACATTTCTATCCACTTGTTTTGTTTGGTTCCTTCAGTGGAAGAGAAAATACCCTAGAAAATTACCCTGCCTCCTACAGCAAAACCCACCTGAAAAGTTTCTGCTTCTGGATGAACAAACGAAAAAAAAAAAAAACACTTTTCATTACATGCACAGTGTGTTGCAACACACTGTAAATAACAGTGCAGCGTACCCTCAAAGTAACAATTTTAACCCAGCCTACGTTGTGCATTAAAAGTTTTCGTGATGAAAACAAAAAAAGAAAAAGGTTAATGCTGACTCACTCTGATATGCACACTGTTCACCTGAGGAGAGCTGAGAAAGGTGGCTGACTGACCACTGACACAATGAACAGGGGCAACACAGCTACTGGCTCTACTAAATACTTTATGACAGAAAATATTCACAATTTGAATTGTTTTTTTGTAGTCATGAATAAAATCTGCCAGCTAAAATGCTGTTTTATTAGTATTTGTTTTATGCATCTGTTCTGAACACTTATATCCACTTTGTGTAACAATTTTATACTTCTTCATTTAACTTCAGACAGTTAGAGAAAGGTTTAAAATTTAAACTTTAATCTGAAGGCGTATTGTTTTTTTTTTTTCTCTTTGTCTTGGGCGTGGGGGGTTGGGGCTTTAGACACAAATCTCTCCCACTGAGAATATTTTATTTTTGTAGCAATTTGGTCTTTAGAGGCTGCACTGGCAATTTTTCAGTCACTGGCAGGCATTTCTTCTTATTTTATGAACTAAAGGATTGGATTAAAATTGCACAGGATTGCTTGAAGGGTTTCGTAAGGTCAAGACACAGATCCTTCAGAGATAAATCTGAATCTCAACTGCTTCTCCCAGTACACGCCCTTAGTGGCAATTTGGCCTTTGAATAATTAGGCTAATTAGCCTTAGACAGACAATAGCTAAATGCTAATTTGTGCCTAATTAAGAGAAATGAATCCACAGCTGTATTTGTTTTCTGCAATCCAAAGTGCACTGGCTACAAAACAACCCCCCTGTCGCTCTGTAACTAATTGAGATGATTCTGAGTTTATGCTGTGTGACTGACAGTGCTTTGTGATTACTTCGTGTTTGTGCATCTTGTTTGGTGGTTTCACAAGCTTAAGACTGCAGTTCAGTAAAAAACAAAAGATAATGACTTCTGTTTTACAAACGCGTAGTAGACATGCAACTCCTTTTGTAGTTTTATGGCAAACAATAACACCACAGATGCAACAGTTGCAGTGTTTAGGCTACTTAAAAATTAGGCCTTACAGTTTACCATCATTAAAGAGATATATTTAATTCTGTAATTTCTTACTTTTTCGCTCAACACAATGAGTTACACAGCTTTCTTTATTGGCTATAAGAAATCCACCTAAAAACTTCCGCACCGAAGAGCTGTTATTGCTAGAGTTAAGTAGCTGCTACATTTATAGAAAAAAATCAATGTCAGCCATTCATGGATAAAGCAGCCAAGCAGAAAATTGGCCAATTCTGTTCACCTGTGAAACAGCTAGTCTATCCATTAGTCCTGGGGAATGCTTAACACAATATCAAAGTTTATAAGTTTGACTTTGTTTTATAAAACAGCCTCATTTGGGATCGCTATGGTATCGACACTAGGTCAGTTTTAGCAAGACAACCAACTAATCCACAAAAAATAAAAACTTCACTTGAAAAAAACAACAAAAAGGTGATGGGGTCAGGCGAACAGAGCAGCTTGGAAACATTTCTAGATCTGTACTGTATGTGTTGTTTCAATTATTTTAATATCAACAGCATTTTGGTTATTTAAAAACAAAAACAGCTTACTCAGCATTGCACCATAGAATCCCAATGAAAAGTTTGCTTATTAGTTCAATCCACATGTTTCAATACTTTACTTCTAATATCAATGACAATAGCCCAAAATTGTGTTTTTCTGAAAATGTTAAAGTTATAAAAGTCTAAGAAAGGGATCATCAATGCAGAATGTCGTATAGCTTACACAATCACAGCGAGGACTGCTGAGTCGACAGCTGACCAGACAACAGTCACGGACAGCCTCCCACAAGGAGAGGAGGGAGAAGAAGCTCTTTGTTCATTGAGTTTATATACAAGCAGCTTACATGGAAGAAAATTTGTTATGAAAAAGAACTAGTCCGTTGTAAAATTTGCATTTCATTGAAATTTTGATTAAATTTGTAATGAAATTTTAATCAAAATTGAATTCCAGGGTTCTTTGGGTCCAACTTTAGGTTTGTACAATCAATAATCGTTCCTATCTGTTGCCGTTAGTGGGCAGTGCTTTATCAAATCCAATACATCAATCTTTATCCAATAAAGCTATGAGTTCCAACTTCTGAATTGAATGACTAAAACAAATGTACTTTTCAACAGTTTTCTATTTGTTTGAGGTGCACTTTTCTCAAAATTATGATGAACGAGACATGAGCTGCTAATCATACAAAGCAGTATTTTGTAGTCTTATGTCTTGGAAACAAGTGAATCCTTTGCACCATAAACTTTTATACTTTTTCTGTTTATTGTTACTTACATTATATGTCTCCAGCTTGACTCGGTTCTTAAAGATGTGGGTAGAGAAGTTGGCTTTCTGGAAGACTTCATCAAACCCTTCCTCGTCCTTGGAAATACACACACACACACACGCACACACACACACACACACACACACACACACACAAATATTCAGAGGTAAACAAAAAGTTTGGTGGAAACTCTAAAAGGAAGCAGTCCGTTATAGTTAGATCTCCTGGGCGAAATTGTTAAGAAGAACTGTCTGTGGCAGTTTCTCCTTTTGTGTGTATGTGTGTGTCAGAGTCTCACTGTTTCTCTGAGCTGTCCCAACTCTTCTGCCTTGCGACCCAGCAGGACCTCAGCTGTCTCCTGGAAGCATGTCACCCACTGGTTATCCCCGAAGTCTGCCAAGTTAGCCTGAGAGTCAAGACAGCGAGAGATGATGGGTAGGGGAAAACATTACTTCTGTTTGTCTGACTGTGTATTTGTGTCATCACTGAGAATAATCACTGCATGTTTGACAAGCATTAATGTTGTTTGTCCCATATGTGCATCATACTCACTGAAAGTAGGAGTCTATATTTGAAGTTGGGGAACTCTCTGTTACACTTCTCGCAGCGGTAAAAACCATTCTGTTGATCTATGACCTTCTTGTTGCAGTCTGAAGACGGACAGGCTTGATACAAACAATTTTCTTTACGCATGTAAACTATAGTTGCCACGCAGCTAAAATAGTCTGCCTGAAAGACAAAAACGACAGAAAAAGAGGCTAAATCTAAATATTGAAAAGAGTCTGAGCAGTAAAAACAGACAGTAGTTTGGTTGCAGATGTATAGAAGAATAATTTTCCAGACCAAACAAGTCTTCGGGTTTAAGTTACTCTGCATCAATAACAACCCAACATAAAGAAGCAGCATTCAGTTTTCTTCCACAAAACTTGGCAAATGTCTATTTACTGTAACACCTCAAGCATATTTGATTATATTTTAAAGGTTTTACCCAAATACCGTAAAAAGATGATTGTTTATCATCAGTCAAATGTAGCCTGGACAAATTTTAAGAACTTTAAATGCCAAATTTATAAATAATAAAAAAAAGACCCTGAACAGCAGGAATTACATCTACAATTTAACTTACCAGAGAATAAATGCTGTCCTTTGTTTGGTACCAAAAAAAGTGCTTAAATCACAAAAAGCAAGACTAGAGAAAAGAAACCCTGGTAATTAGTAAGAAAGTCAGAGTGTTGGAGCATTTATTTTCCCTATTTATGTCTTGCTGGATGCCGACAGTGCTGGCAGATGTTAAAACATGGAACTATCTGTAGTAGTCCATGTGACTGGCTTATAATTAAGTTGTTTCATTAAAATTTCAGAGCACACCCATCTGATTTCTACTTAAGAGGCTTAGACTTCAAGAAAACTTTGATATTAAGTTTGTATGTTTTTGGTTGCAGCTTCAGTGATGGGGGGGGGGAATATAAGCTGCATAAATTAAATCACACACCATATTTAAGACATGGGGAAGCTTCCTGTCACCGACTGCATCAGTAAGGTCTATAAGAAGCACATAATCGCACTCAAAATGTAGAGAACTAATAATCTTAATATGCTGTACATTATCACATATATTTTTTGACTTGGTTTAAGTTTAACTGTATGCATATTGATTGTTGTAGTAACAGAAAAGAATCCCTCTAGGTCTGATGGTTTTTAACATCACAACTAGAGGTTTGACATTTTGAAAAATGACAGACCCATTTACATAAATGCTACTCTTTAGTTACATTTTCCTTAGTTTATTAGCATAATGCTCCTCTTTTGCTGTTGCTCATTTGATCCCAAGAAAAGCCAAGTTTACGTGATTGCAAAAAGGGAAGCAAAAAAATATGACCTGTGTCTTAAAAATGTGTTATTAGTGCATTTATAAAAACAGCTTTTTTACATCTACACAGCAACAACTTACATGAGCCACTGACACCCAACACATTTAAATATCAAAAATATTTCAAGACTGCGATGAGGGTGGAAATAAATGCAATCCTTCTGTTTAACCTGCTCCTAGGTCATGTCATATGGATTTTTCAAACTTAAAAGCACATGTTTACGTGTGCTAGAAGAGAAAGTGCATTTGCCAAGACGGAATCAAACTTTTCAAAGTGAAAGGTGTTCAATGAATAGAGCGGAAGAAGATATCTCATCAAAGTGTTTGTTATGTAGGAGGCAACATCTTGTGAGATGAAAGGGATGCCAGGTGGCGAAGGCCTCAAGAACACAGTGAGTAATCACTAGTCCACAGCAGAGTCAAAAATCACAGAACAGTAGTGGGGTATGACGTCAGCTTCTGCGGTTTGGACTTCTTTGCAGTCAGAACACGCAAAAAGATGAGTGGAAAAGTAACTATCTTATCCAGTTTGTGATCAGAAATAGTCATGACCTTCAATCCATTTGACACGATTGGACGTCAGGAACTACATTTGATCAAAATGGCATCAGAAAGGCCAGGATTGATGTGTCAAATCAACCCAAATAACTAGTTAAATCTAGAAAGATTGAAAGAAAACCAATTCAAATGAATAAACATAATGTAAGGAACCATAATTCCTAACAAAATAATGATAATAGAACAATTTCTCACCAATTAGACTTAAAAACAACATATCAAATAACAAAGTGAAAATTTATTCTATCTTTGAAATCTGGTGAATATTATTTGTATATATATTGTCAGATTTTTAATCAGTAGATCAACTGTGAAGAAATCTTGTCTGAAGTTATGCATTGTGTCAACCTTTCAATTTTGAAATAAAAGCAGTAAGACTTGATTATGAACTGTGGACATTTTTTTAAATGTAGAGGGTTTAAAAGAGCCCTGTGTAATTACTTTATGGTATAAAGTGTTATAATTGCAAATGTGTGAATCAATATTGAATGAAGATAATAAATTACAAATTTTACACAATGTGTGTGACTATTTTATAGTAAATGTGATTTTAGAAGCAGCATTTAAAGGTGCTGCATTTTACACACCTTTGGCCATGTCATTTAAATATCTGAAGTCAATTACTTTGATTGGTGAGCAAATATTTTATCAAATGTTCTGGCGACCGGTCCAGGGGGCACCCAGTTTCTTGCCCAATGACCCCTGGACACGGCACCAGCAACCCTGAGACCTGGCAAGGAAAAAGCATGAACAGGCAATGGTTGAATTATTTTTTTCTGTTTTATATTATGGAAAAGTTAACACTCTGAAATCAAACGAAATGTTTCCTGGTGTTCAAAAACCCTTCTCATCCAGACTTGAAAAATGGAAAAACCTAATTCCATACATTTTAAGAGAGTAAAAACCTTGAAATAAAGACAAAAAGCCAAAGGGCTCCTTAAGTTCAAACAGCGACAGAGTACATCGCAAAGGGTGCAAAAGGGCATAATTAAGAAAATCCAAATTGAAATTACATCCGAGTTGGCATTGAATATCTAATTGGTGCCAAAAATTCAGCCCAACTGGTGCATGCAGGCTGTTTACACATCTCTATTTGACTTCCAGAAAATCTTGGAACAGCTCACAAAGAGCAGGAGGAGTTTGAGAAATCTTTGCATAATCGATGCAAGACGAGATGAATTTCTCCCTCTCTAATGCGAAAGCTGTGCTAATACATACAGACACACAAGCAAACTGACAAGTATACATGACTATAATGCAAGGTTATATGCAAACAACCAAATATTTACATGTGCAATGCAGACATAGTGACGCTAAACTTCCTTCTGTTACAAAATCAAATTAAAGTGTGCACAGTCAAACAAAATCAAATTAAAATGCAACGATGCAGCTGTAATTTAAACAGATATTAGCACCTTAGGCGGCAGAACTCACACTGCTAAAATCAACAGCTAAAAAGGAAAGAAATGTCAATTCTGAGGGGAAAAGGCTATTGCTCTCATCCTGTAGAGAAGCATGCCATTCCATTTCCAAAAAAAAAAAAAAAAAAAAAAAAAAAAAACACACACACAGCAGATGAACAATGTCTCACTGCAAGAGGCAGCCCTCGAATGCACCTACATGCAAGCGTACAGGAATTTAAAATACTCATGGAAAATGTGATCCACATGCACGTATAGGAAACCAGAAAGAATTGATTTTTTCCAACAATACACCAGAGGGCATTTCTTCTCTAGAACAGACTTTAAACAAGATCCAGGAATTACAGCTAGAATATAAAACGCACACTAAACAACAAGCAGCAGCTAGAGCTGGGCCAGACTCATTACTAATGTTGGCCTAAATGAGTCTATCAAAGACTCTTTCTAGGATGTGGGCCAAAATCACACACATACTGAGAAACGCTGTTCCTCTGCTCTGCAAAGCATGATTCCTGCAAAGTGTTTTGTAAAAGCATCGGATGTGAAAAGGCCATTGTGTTTCCTGCATCCCTCATGAGGGGGCTAATGCTGTGCTGCGTCCCCTCGACCGCTACACTTACTGTCACTCAGACTTTGAGCCCTCTGACACTTTTCCCCCTCTGGCCAATACTGACTCACAGTTTCATAATCTGTCCACCCATCCATCGACTCAGCGTCCATGCCACCGAGCAAGGACCCTTCAGAAACACTTAGTAAGAGGCTTTTTTTTTTTAATTAATTAGCAGAATTTCCCCCTTTAGCAACATCCCCACTCCTCATCAACACCACACTCCTACGCTCCCATAAGCATGCCTGCCTCGTCACATTTTAAAAGCAAACTGGAAGGATAAAGAAGTGGGGAGGCGATGTGGAAGGCAGTAGGTGGGTGGATGAGACAGAAGTGAGGGCTTGCCGCGTCTTCCTTATGATGGCAGAGTTAATGTGGACGTAAAGGACAGCAGGACCTTGACCAGGGGTTATTTCATCAATAGCAAAACATGATAAATGAATCCCACAATATTTCATAATTAAAGACTCCTGCTGAGGTCCTTTCTTTTCTTGCTGTATTCATTTACAAAGCCTTATAACAACATTTATACCCCTGGCACATTTTGAATGTTGCATTATAATTACAAACTTTAAATGGGGGCATTATGTAAAATC